TTTAAAAATTTTAAGCTTCTTGAGGTCAAGATAATGAATAAATAAACCTATGTTTGAACTATGAATACAATGTCAGTAAGGTCACAACAGTGCTGACTTGCTAAGTTTGTGATTTAGTTGAAGTATTTGTGAAGGCTTAACGAAAATTTGTAATATGAACAAAAATTAATAACTATGTGCTAAGTAATTAATAACTTTTGACACAAAAAGTTATTGAAATTTTTTTGTTCGTTTAGAAGAAAATTTTTTGTGAAAAATATTACAGAATGAATGAAATAAATTTGATCAAAAAATGTGAACAATTTTTTTTAAATCAATTAAAATTATTAAAACAAATTCAAAAAGTGACTGAAATTGCTTAAAACATGTGAAAATTAATAAAATTTGGATTAATAAGATAAAATATCTATTTATTTTGTTAAAAAAGCAATCTTTTGGTGTTAAAAAAAGAATTATTAATTTACTTCTGTTCACTTACCTAATTTAGTCAGTACTAATTAAGAGGTTAAATTATTAATTGAATTGAAAAAACGATAAGAGTGAAATATGCAAATTTTGAACAAATAATTGAGAAAAATAAACCTGGAAACAGAAAGTATTCCTTGTAGCCGCTCAACACCACGAAATTCAATAAAACCACCTGCGTTCTCGATTCTCTCCCTTTCGCGTTTCTGAATTATTATACGAATTCTTAAAATGTTAGTCAGAAAAATCAAGAATGTCATTAAAAGTATTCTTTTAAAACCTAGAATGTGATTTTGAATAATTCTTGCTAGCTTTTTGTTTTAAATGAAGTCGGTATTTTTAAGAAAAGTATCGAAAATTCATTTTTTATGTCTTTTAAAATCCTTTAAAGCAAATATGAGATAAATACTACTTCTAAATAAAGTGAAAACAATAATAATAACAATAACAATAATAATAATAATAATAATAATAATAATAATAATAATAATTAAATAATAATAATAATAATAATAATAATAATAATAATAATAATAATAATAATACATAATGATAATAATAATTATAAATTTGTTTGCGAAAGTTAATTTTATAGATGAGAAGTGTTAATTATTTGCTAGTAAATTAAAAAACAACAAAATCTTTGTGGCAAAATGCTTTAATAATTATTAGCTTATGTAAGAATACGTCAAAACTAATATGCTAAATGCAACAAAAGCCATGAAAATGAATTCAAAGTGTCATTAATTATTAAAATGAAAAACATGCAAATTTTTGTCGAAATTAACTTTATTCTCATTATTTGATTATTCAGACTTTCCTTTTAATTATAATAATTAACTTGCGCATTTACGAGAAGATAGTAATACCCTTTGATTAGAATAATAATTCAAGCTTTTTTAATTTATTATCTGAAATCAAATTTTGCATCTTTGTCCAAAATTAAATCCTGTTTGCCATAAGATTACTTGCCAACAAAATAATCTTCTGAGGTTAAAAAATTGGAGCGAAAAGTCTTTGGATAAAAAGGATTCAGTATTGTAACACTTGACAATCAAAAATTCTAAAATTAGCAGTTTCCAGAGTTAAAAATGTTAATTCCACGATGTAGAAAAGACACTTCACTAGAAATCCTTACTTTATAAAATGTACAAATCTTCAAATCATATAATGTTTAAATTTTTAATTTTTTTATTTAAACTTTCTTTTCAAAAATAAATCTAAAAAAGTTGAGACAAAATATTCAGAATATTCAGAAATCAGAATTAATACTCAAATGAAATGAATTCAGAATATTAAGAAATATTCAAAAAAAAAAAAAAAAAGAG